AAACCCACCAAGACTGAGCGGCTGGGGGCAGGTTGGGAAATCCCACCCAGATGGAGCGGCTGGGGGCGGGTTGGGAAAACCCACCCAGATGGAGCGGCTGGGGGCGGTTTGGGAAAACCCACCCAGCTGCAGCAGCTGGGGGTGGATTGGGCAAACCCACCCAGCTGCAGCGGCTGGGGGCGGGTTGGGCATACCCACCAAGCTGGAGCGGCTGGGGGCGGGAGCGAAGCCCGCCTCAGCGGGTTTTGCTCCCTTCTCTGCTTTCCTCCAGCCACAGTAAGCCCTATTCTTGCAGGAATCTTCCTGCAACGGGCCTCTAGTTATATATAAAGAGTACCCAGGAAATTACTTTTTAAAAGTTCTCTCATAAAAACCTTAATCTGCCTGGTTTTGTTTTTGTTTAATACAAGGCTGCCATTAAAGAAAGAAAGGATAGCTACCTCAGGTTCTCAGTTTATTCTGTTTGCCTTAAGTGTGATTCAGTGATAGATTCTCCCTAAATCATGAAGACCATTGACCAAACCCCATATACTTCCTCCCTTTCTCTTTTTTAGTATATAAGGAACTAAGGGTAAGCAGTTCATTGATTTATTAAGGGACACTTAATTAAACTTATTTCTCTAAGGCCAGCACATTTTCACTTTATCTTTTGACACCACTTGCTACTAAACTAGCGCCATCTCTCTCCTGGACAACTGCAGTTAACTGTTCTTCTACACCCATATTAATTCTTTATCTCCATCCACAAGAATCACTGCAGCCAGAGGGATCTGTTAAAACTGCAAATTTAATCATGAATTTCCCTCCTAAAACTAAAAAAACCCACAAACCCCACAACCTTATTTTTTAGAGCAGTTTTAGATTTAGAGCAAAACTAAGCAAAAAGTACAGAGTTCCTATATCCTCCGGTCCCATTCCGACCTACCACCCCATAGTCCCACACCAGAGTAGTATGATTGTTATAATTGAACTTACATTAACACATCATTATCACCCAAATCCATAGTTTACATTAGGGTTCACTTATTGTACTTTCTATGGGCTTGGACAAATGTATAACGTATCCACAATTATAGTATCATACAGAGCAGTTTCACTGCTCTAAATGTCCTCTGTGCTATACCTGTTCATCCCTCCCTCCCCCTAACCCCTGGCAACCACAGGTCTTATTGTCTCCAGTTTTGCCTTTTGCAGAATATCATATAGTTAGAATCATACAGCATCTTTGCCATGCCTACCAGTCTTCTTTTTTTTAAACCCTTACCTGAGGACATGCTTAGAAAGAGGGAGGGAGGGAGGGGGAGAAAGAGAGAGAGAGAGAGAGAGAGAGAGAGAGAGAGAGAGAGAGAGAGAGTGAGAGAGATAGAGAGTGAGAAACATTGATTGGTTGCCTTCCATACATGCCCCAACTAGGGAATGAGCCCAAAACTCAGACATGTGCCCTGACTGGGAATTGAACTGGCAACCTTTCAGTGCATAGGACAATGATGCTCAAACAACAACCAACTAAGCAACTCTGGCCAGCCACCTACCAGTCTTGATGTGGCTTCCTTTTGAAATCCTTAGTTGAAGGACTTCAGCTAGATTTCAGGCAGTTCTGAATGATGGTTGTTTTGTAGTTTAGTTGCAATTCTGATGTGGTTGTGGGAGGATTCTAGTATCGCATTTACCTAAGCCACTCTCTTGACTGGAAGCCACTGTTTTTTAAAATTTCTGCTATGCTGCATTTTCAGTTACTTGAATGTGCCCAGTTTCTATATCATGTCTGTACTCTCTGCTTTCACCACTCACTTCATTTGCTCCTTTTTATATAAGTAGTTCTTTTTATCCTTTAGAGTTTCGCTGAAATATGATTTTCTCGGGGAAGTTTTCCCCGCACCACACCAGGTCAGGTTTCTTGTTACAGATACTCAGAGCCACAGGTGATCCTGATCATAACTGTTATGTATTTAACATCTGTTCTCTCACAGTAAAATAGAAGCTTTATGAGGATAGGAACCATATTTTTCCCCAAAGTTGCATGCTCAGTGTTCAATATTCTGTCTGCACAAGCTCAATAAATATTTTGTTAAATGAACATTCAAGTATTGATGGAAATTTATACAGTCCTCTTCTCTATCTGTAAAATTAAGAAAATTAGGTAGACAATCAATCTGTACAACTTGGTAGCCTTTGATAAGTCTCAGATCAACTTGTTGCCTTTTCCCATATTCAAAATGGGAATAAGAACTCCCCAGATAAAGACAAGGATTATTATAAGGTTATGTAAATTAATTTATAAAACAATTTAGGACACTTTCACTCTATAAATCCAGTGTGGTATTTGGGCTTTGGTACTTATGTGGGTCATTAATGCCTTGTGGTATATTTTAGAAAACTTAATATTTTCTTACATTTCATGTGTTTCTTAAAAATAAAATATGTAGTAGCTAAAATTTAGCTTTTTTTGGTCAACCCTTAAATGATGCTTATTATTTATAATTATGTGATAAATCAAGGAAATAATCTAATAAACTGAGTATTTTAGAGAAAGCTCATTTGATCTTTGATGAAAACCTTAATTTATATATTAATCTTCAATAAAAAAATTTTCCCTAGAAATAATTATGCAGTCTAGAATTTTGTAAAATTACTGTCTACTTATAAAACTTGCCAAAAACAGGTACTATAGAGTGAATGTTCTCTCTTTTTAATTACTTCCAGCTTTTATCATACCACGTGTAGAAATTTGTCATCCTATCTTTTCCTGAAGAATGGTGATAACATTTCTGATCCTGAACTGTGTTTCTAACCATCATTTAGCACTTGACTATCTATGTCCAGTGGTCTAAAGTAATATAGTATTTTCCATAATATGAGATATGAAGGGACAAAACCTAAGAGCTATATTCTGCTGCATGGGAAACATGTTAAATAATAGTTTTACATTTTTCTTTAGAAACTTACCACTAATTGCTATTCTGAAAATGCCAAGTACACTTGACCTTATTCTAAAAATATTGAAATTTAAGCACAAGTTAGTCATGGAATTACTCACTGAGAACAAAGAAAAGAACAATTGGCCAAAACCGGTTTGGCTCAGTGGATAGAGCGTCGGCCTGCGGACTGAAGGGTCCCGAGTTCGATTCCGGTCGGGGGCATGTACCTTGGTTGCGGGCACATCCCCAGTAGGAGATGTGCAGGAGGCAGCTGATCGATGTTTCTCTCTCATCAATGTTTCTAACTCTCTATCCCTCTCTGTAAAGAATCAATAAAATATATTTTAAAAAAAAGAACAATTGATCATGTTGAAGATTAGCATACAAGTGGTAGATTTTAATCAAAATTGTATCATAATTTTTCCAGCTGTGACCCTGCATGTTAAAAATTATGAAATATGTGAGTCAATAAAAAGAGTTTACTGAGTGCATAACTGAGCAAGGCCTGTGCACAGATCCCACAGGGTGACGAAGAATGGAACAATCTCAGGAGACCCATTTAAGAAAACATTAAAAACTTATAGAAAATACCTCTATGATGGCTTCTGCATTATTCAGATTACTCAAAGAAAAGACATTGGCAATGCAAGTTGAAATAGGTATTTTTATTTAGAAACTTGCTTTGTCAGTGAGAGAGTAAAAGTTACAAACATTTTAATTTAATAAAATTAACATATCCTTAATCCTAAAAACATCTCTTAAAAGCCTTCTTTTTCTGAAACTGCAGATCATTTTAACCCAGGGTTTTTCGTTTTGTTTTATTTGTTTGGCTTTCTTTTAATGTCTCTCATGGAAAAAGATGCTGCTGATTCCGCTCATGCAAATAACAGAACATGTGTAGTATGACTTGTTTACAAACACAACAAATTTTCCACTTGAGTTTGAGTTGCCTGCATGCATGTGAGTTAATATCTCTATTGCTGTAGCTATAAAAGTCTACTGGCACAACAGTGAGGTTTTATGCTATCTCCTGAGCATTGAGAGTTACATTGTGGTCATATTTTTTTTAAAAAGTTCTGCAGCAAGACAGTTCTCCTGAAAAATATCCTCATTCCCTAATCATAACTTAAAATTGCTATAGATTAATATCACACACTAATGTATTTACAGGCATACCTTGTTTTACTGATTTTTGCTTTATTATACTTCGCAGATACTGCATTTTTTACAAATTGAAGGTAAGAGCCTCCACCAGCAAAAAGGTTACAACTTGCTGAAGGCTCAGATGATGATTAGCATTTTATAGCAATAAAGTATATTTAATTACGGTGTGTGCATTGTTTCTCAGACATAATGCTGTTGCACACTTAACAGACTGTAGTATAGGGTAAACATAACTTTTATATGCGTTGGGAAACAAAACATTTGTGTGACTCAGTTTAATATTTTCCTTATTGTGGTGGTCTGAAACCAAACCCATACTATCTCCAAGGTATGCCTGTACTTTTAAATACATTAGGCTTCCATGCAGGTTTTTAAAAAGTACTTATTAAATGACTTAACCCTATAAATTATTTTCTAAATGATTTTTATATATGAGACACTGAAAGTATGAGATAAATAAATATTTAAAACATGTTTTAAATAAGTTAAACCAAAACTGACACCTAGTAAGTAGAGGTTCAAAGATCATGTGCATAGATTTATTTTTAATTTACTGAAGGAACATAAAGCTTATCTGAGGGCAACACTTAGAAATCTTCAAACTTATTGATTTTTATACATGGACACAAGAAAGACTAAATTCTAAATGTAAAAGTAGAATGTTAGGCTTAGAATTTGAAAATCTTGGCTTGAAGTACATAGTTTTTTTCTTCCTTTTAATTACAAGGAATAAGGTAACAGGGTTAGCCTTCCACACTGTGATGCTTTGTGCAAACGCCAAAAATGATACATCACATGGCAATAATTTTGTTGATAAAATTTAAACAAATCTCAAATTATTATTTTTAGCATAAAAGTAAATATTAAACTGTACTTCTGTTGATGGATTTTGTAGATGATAAGATTTATGGAAGTTCTTATTGCTCTCCTAATGGCACAGTTTAGTATTATGGATAGAAAAGCAAGAAAAGGTGAACCTTAAAAAATAGTGTTTCCAGTTTTAATGAGTACTATTTGTCAAGGAAATGGGGAGAATATAATAAGAAGGCCTCTTATTAGAACCAGCAAAATCCTTTTTTAGGAGGTGCTATCAATACGTGCAAAGTTGTCATAATTTAAGGTCCATTTTCTACTAGCAATATACCTGCCAAATTTGGCAATTTAAAGGAATAGTAAATTGGATATTGATTTTGAAATTATAGCAAACAGCTGTAGGAAGCAATGTTTTAAAATGTTGGCGTAATTAGTTTTAAAAAATTATTTAACAGTTATTATATACATTCAGAACTTTAATTTTTTTTATTTTTTCTAAAGTCAGTTTCCTGTGTGTTTTATATACACATAAAATCACAGAATGTTAGCATGGGGTGGGAAAACATCAAATTTCACAGAAGAGGCACCTGAGGGTCAGAGAACAGATCTGGGGCTTGATACAACTTCATGTGAGGTTCTCTCCTTCATAACTTAGGTCTTAGGGGATAGAGATGAATGCTCAATTGCTTTATAGCTTTCCTGCTGGGTTGTGGTTGCATTAATAGCAGGAGGACTCTGTTCAGGGCTCTTTTGAAGAAATCTGTAAAACAAGTACTCATCCCGAAATTCATAGTCATTGGTGATGTGTTGGATGACTCCTCCTTGCACCAGTCTGTCTCCATATATAACAGCTTCACCACGGTCAGATGCGAGGCCAACTTCAATTAGCCAGTTCACCAGGTCACAGCCACAGAAGGTCCCAGCCGAAGTCTTTGCACCACACCTGTATGTCAAAGGAATGATTCACCCATATGGTCTGTAAACTTGGTATCAGCACTGCATGATAGAAGACAAGCAAGGAAAAATAGGAGGAGACAGGGAAAGACAGCATGATAGTTAAAACTGTGGCAGGAATGACACTGTTATGAGTATAATGGGTTTAACTCACGTAACCCTAGAAAGACCCACTGGAGAAAAAATGCCAATAACGCCTGTGAAAATGGAAATGCTTAAACCAACAAAACCCACTCAGATTATGTAAATTTATCTACAAATAAATATTCTTTTTATAGTAGACTAGAGGCCCGGGGCATGAAATTCATGCACTCGGGGGGTTCCTCAGCCCGGCCTCCATCCTCTCACAGTCCGGGGACCCTCAGGGGATGTCTGACTGATGGCTTAGGCCTGCTCCCAAGCCAGCAGTCAGACATCCTCAGTGCTGCTGGGGAGCCACTGCACTTGCCAGCCATGAGCCCGGCTCAGGGCTTCTGACTGAGTGGTGCTCCCCCTGTGGGAGCACACTGACCACCAGGGACAGCTCCTGCGTTGAGTGTCTGCCCTCGGGTGGTCAGTGTGCGTCATAGTGACTGGTCGTTCTGCCATTTGGCCGATTTGCATATTAGCCTTTTATTATATAGGATGGCCTTTTATGATCAAATACATTCTGTAGACAGTTGAATATTATATATTTAGTAAGTTATACTCAAAGTTATAAATAATTTATCTCAGAAACATTAAATAATATTTTTACAAGCTCCTTAAGAAGGACAATTTTAACTAAACTACTCAAATGAACTTTGTATTTTCTGCTTATCACACTGCCCATGAATAGCCTTTCTTCTTGCCCTCAGCAGCCAAGACAGATTTACTGATGATATGTCAGCAACTAGCTGCATTAGGAAGCAAGGGAAGAATAAGTGAGATCTGTCTTGTTACAAATCTAAGATTTTTAAAATGTATTAAAATGGTCTTCCTAATGAAAATATAGGGTGCCTCAAGGAGAAACAAATAAACAAGGGAAATAAATGTAAAAAAAAACACCAAATGAATTCTGTACATTTTCATACAAATGTGCAATAGACAATATGAATCTGTTCAGAAGCATCAGTCAAGCTGTAAAACCCAAAGTGCTTGACAAAAGGAAACAGTGGATGAAAATCAAGATGAAATGACTGGGAAACGTATATGCATATATGCATAGCCCATGGACACAGACAATAGCATGGTGAAGGCCTGGGAGGGGTGGGTGCAGGGTGGAGGGGGTCAATGGGGAAAAAAGGGGACATCTGTAATACTTTCACCAATAAACAAAAAAAGAAAAAAAAGAAAATCAAGATGAAATAAAGAATAGGTGACAAAAATCTTAAAACACTTAACCACAAATGAATATACATTAGATTTTCATATAAAAACTAGAAAAGAAAAAAAAATTAGAAAAGAGGCTAATATACCTGAAAAATTTTCTCAAGTACATAAAAACACGATAGGTTAATATTAGTATTTTACTTATTAATATCTTAATTTATGCTTTGCAACCAAAACATCATTTTCAACAGAAGCCTAAATATTAGAACCTTAATCTGAGCATTCATCTTGCATGCTGAGTTTTAATTTATAGCCCAACACTTTCTTTTTAAAAAAATATATATTTTATTGATTTTTTACAGAGAGGAAGGGAGAGGGATAGAGAGTTAGAAACATCGATCAGCTGCCTCCTGCACACTCCCCACCAGGGACATGCCTGCAACCAAGGTACATGCCTCTGACTGGAATCGAACCCGGGACCCTTGAGCCTGCAGGCCAATGCTCTATCCACTGAGCCAAACTGGTTAGGGCTTATAGCCCAACACTTTCTAACCAACACCAAGGGAATAATATTTGCTTCCTAATGACTGATCAGGCAGGTAAAGCACAGCTCATGGAATTGCAGAGAGGCAGAGAATGTGCCACTGTGCAGGCTGCAGGGCAGTGCCAATGCCAGTGGAGCCCCATTCTGCCTCCCGGGACCGAAGCAGCTGGCAGTCCTGCAAATGGCAAGAGCTATGCTTCCTGATAGTGGGCAATAACAGGGACCTGGTAGAGCAAATGGGGAGTTCCCTTTAAAAATTATAAAAAGTAGTTTTAAAAAATAATTGTGTTTGGCCCTTAAGGGCGAGAAACCAACTTTTCTTCATAGTTTACCATTTCCAGAAACTGGACTAGGCCCATTCCATAGATTTTGTCATCTAACTTGAACAATCCAGAGACCCAGCCTCTATTTTAAAAAAGAGGAACACTAAGGTTTGGAGAACTGAACTTGCCCAGTGTCACACAGCTACTAAGTGGCATACCCAGGAATTGAGTTCTAGTATTAGTCCCCTATTAGTGCCCACCCAGTGAGTCCCCTTTTCACTAGCTATATCAGGCTGCCTTCTGGTTATTATAAAATATAGTGGCATAAGAATATGTAAATAAATCATGTAAATGGTAATATTCATACATTTTCAAATTTTCAGTTATAGACATAAAAGTATTTGGTTTTCTGGTTTGTTTTTATCTCTTTTTACAACAACTAAAAATATTGGTAACATTTGTTTTTTGATTTCTTGCTGCATACTCCATATCTTGAAGATCAGAAGAATAAATATGATACCTTAGACTAAAGATTAGGACTTGAGGTGAAAAATAAGCAGCAGAATTAAAAGTTTTCAGTGAATTTTCAGTTTAAGTTTATTAAAAGTAAGCACTAAAAGGAGATATTCAGTTTCTCCATCACACTAGCCACATTTAAATAGCCACAGTGGCCTAGTGGCTACATGACTGGAAAGATCAGATCAAGGTTAAGAGTGGTTTTACTGTCCTCCACATGCTAATTTAAACTGTGATGCAAATGCTAAAAAAATATTTTACATGCTGTGAAAGACAGAAAATTCTGAAGATGAGAATGAAATTTTTTTAGTCTAGTTCTTTTTTGGGGGATATCTTTGTACTTTTAATTTTTCTGTGAAACTAAAACTGCTTTTTAAAGAGTAAAGCATTTTTATTTTTCAATTAAAGTTTACATCAATATTATTTTATATTAATTTCAGATGTACAGTATAGTGGTTAGACAGTCATATACTTTACAAAGTGATTGCTCTGATATTTCAATACCCACATGGCACAATACATAGTTATTAAAATACTAGAGGCCTGGTGCACAGATTAGTGCATCGGTGGGGTCCCTTGGCCTGGCCTGCGGGGATTGGGCCAAAACTGGCTCTCCAACATTCCCCGAGGGGTCCCAGATTGCCAGAGGGCACAGGCCAAGCCGAGTGACCCCACCAGTGCACGATCAAGGCCGGGGAGGGACCGCGGGAGGGCTCCAGGGTGTGTCTGGTCCATCTCGCCCAGTCCCAATCAGCTGGACCCCAGCAGCAAGCTAATAACCTACTGAGAGAGTCTGCCCCTTGGTGGTCAGTGTGCATCATAGCGACTGGTTGAACAATTGAAGGAATGGCCAGACACTTAGCATATTAGGCTTTTATTACATAGGACTAAAGGCCCAGTGCACGAAATTTGTGCCCTCGGGAGGGGGTGTGTCCCCAGCCTGGCCTGTGACCTCTCACTATGTAGGAGCCCCATGATCGATTGCCCCAAAGAGTTAGGCCCTGCCCACCCATCCAGGGCTCCTCGATGGACTGCCCCAAAGTGGTAGGCTGGAGCTGGGAGTTCTGCCTCCACACCGTGTGGAGCTACAGGACCCCCAGACCTCGCTGCGAGAAGCTGCTGGGCCCCACCTCCTCTGCCACATGTGGAGCCATGGGACCCCCAGGCCTGGCCACACTGAGCCACCAGGACCCACGTCCATGCCACACATGCATCAAGTCCCCGCCCACCTGCACGCGCCTCACCGTGCATGCAGCCCCACCCACCCACGCATGCCCGCTGCGCACACAGCCTCCTGGTGATGGATTGTGATGGCGTGAGGGCATCACGGCGTGAGGGCATGATGACAATTTGCATATTAGCTCTTTATTATATAGGATTACTGAATGTATTGCCTAGGCCAGTGGTCTCTGAAAGGTTGGCGACCGCTGCCCTAGGCTGTACTTTACATCCCTGTGACTATTTTGTAACCACCAATTTGTACTTCATACTCCCTTCACCTTTTTTACCCAGTCCCCCAATTCCCCTTCCCTCTGACAACCATCAGTCTGTTCTCTATATCTATGAGACTATTTTT